TGCGGATGAGCTCCCTCTGTCAGTTCCAGCTCCCCATGCAGGGACATGAGAGAAGCCTCCCACAAGCATGATAAAACATCAAAACATCTGGGCATCCCTTGGGCAACGTCCTTGCAGACAGCCAATTCTCTCACACCAGAAGCAACTTGCAGTTTGATGTATTGTCGAACTTGCAGTTTCTCAAGTTGCTCCTGACACGAAAAAAAAATCATGCGCATATTTTGTAAATGATCCAGTGCAAACGCAAGGTCTTAAGCAACCCCTGTGTTATCTTCCAATCATAATAAATCGCATCTTCAACTTCAAAGGGAATCCTGCTACCTTGGGGTTGCAAATGATTGTATTGTAATGAGTTGTAAGCAAGAGGGCATCTGGCTCCTCAAGGCTGGGAACCAGATAATTGTTCTTTAGATAGATGGTGATGTCTATGGGAATGTGTAAGCACTTGGAGACTTGAGAGACAACAAGGGGTATAATTAGAATCTGAGGAGGTTGGGACTTTAGAATCAATTTTCTACCTTGCTGTGTGGTTTGGAAAATAAGGAAGTGTATTCAGATTTATCTGTGAGCGGTTCTTGGTTTCCTGGGGGCCTACAGTTACTAACACCAAGGGCCATCTACTCCAAACCCATCTGCCATGCAGGGATACACAATCTAACCTCTCTCGACAAATGGCTATCCAGCCTCTTTGTAAAAACCCTTCTGAGACAGAGACTTCACTACACTCTTAGGCATCATGTTCCACTGTCAAATATCATCAGGAGCTTTTTTCTAATGTGGAATCCCTTTTTCAGTTTCTTCCAATAGTGTTTGCAGGGGCATTAAAGCCTGTTCTCGGTGGTAGGTTCTCCTCCTGCCACCTCCTTCATTATTTAGGGAAGTAATAACTGTTCTGATGCCTGCCTGAAGGTTTTATTTCAGACCAGCAGAAAGTAATTCCTGTGGATTAAACACAATACCTGGTTTGGATGTAATAATGTGGTTTATTGTTATGGAAGCAAATCCAGTGAAGCTGAAGGCGCCAACGCTCCCCACATTGCTTCTCTTTCTCCAGTATGGATTTTAAAAAAAAACACTGGAAATTTGCTTCTCTGTTTGGTTAACCATAGTTTACTTGTGTGATGTGACCCCAGAGTCTCTTTCAGGTTTAAATTCTGTGATTCTAAGGCAGTGGTTCTCAACCTTCCTAATGCCGTGACCCCTTAATACAGTCCCTCATGTTGTGGTGACCCCCAACCATAATATTGTTTTCATTGCTACTTCATAACAGTCATTTTACTACTGTTATAAATCATAATATAAATATATGATATGCAGGATGCATTTTCATTCACTGGACCAAACTGGGCACAAATACCCAATACACCCAAATGTGAATGCTAGTCGGGTTGGGGGAGGATTGATTTTGTAATTTGGGAGTTGTAGTTGCTGGGATTTATAGTTCACTTATAATCAAAGAGCATTCTGAACTCTACCAGCAATGGATTTGAACCAAACTTGGCTCCCATGACCAATGGAAAACACTGGAAGGGTTTGATGGGCATTGACCTTGAGTTTGGGAGTTGTAGTTCACCTATATCCAGAGAGCACTGTGGACTCATGCAATGGTGGATCTGGACCAAACTTGGCATGAATACTCAATATGCCCAAATATGAACACTGGTGGAGTCTGGGAAAAATAGATCTTGACATTTGGGAGTTGTAGTTGCTGGGATTTATAGTTCATTACAATCAAAGAACATTCTGAACTCCACCAACGATAGAATTAGGCCAAACTTCCCACATGGAATCTCCGTGACCATCAGAAAATACTGTGTTTTCTTATGGTCTTTGGCGACCCCTTTGACACCCCCTTGCAACCTCCTCAGGGGTCCCGACCTCCAGGTTGAGAAACACTGTTGTAAGGCTTAAATCCTACTGTTACTCAAACTAGAATCTACCTGTTGAATGGACAGAACTTCTACAAGTATTGATCTGCTAGTTACTATTGATTTCAACAGGAGCCCCTGGTGTCGCAGTGGGTTAAACCCCTGTGTCATCAGGACTGAAGACCAACAGGTCGCAGGTTCAAATCCGGGGAGAGACGGATGAGCTCCCTCTTTCAGCTCCAGCTCCTCATGTGGGGACATGAGAGAAGCGTCCCACAAGGATGATAAAAACATCAAATCATCTGGGCGTCCCCTGGGCAATGTCCTTGCAGACAGCCAACTCTCTCACACCAGAAGTGACTTGCAGTTTCTCAAGTCGCTCCTGACACGACAAAAATGACACGACAGGTGTGTTCTCATTGGGATAAACAATAGGATTTCATACTCAGCATCTGAGTGCTGTCTAAGAGCCGTAGCAAACTAGGATTTTGCGAGAGCAAACTAAGCCAGCACGAGCGATGCGCCGCCTCTTTCTCCGCCTATTTCCCTTTGCTAGGGCAGCGTTGCGAGCATACGCTCGTGCCGCAGCAAAGTACAGGAAGCTTGCGCTCGGGCTTGCTCCGAAGCCCCACCTTTTTTCCCCCCGAGGCTGCTCTCTCTCTTGCTAGCGTGCCTGTTTTCCATTGCAGAGGGCAGGGATGCGAGCGTACGCTCACAGTTGAATTCTGCCAACTGCAAGAGTACACTCGCATTGCTTCCCTAGCAAGGGAAAACAGGCACACTAGCAAGAGAGAGAGCAGCCTCAGGGGGAAAAAGGCGGGGCTTCGGCGCGAGCTCGAGCACAAGCTCGCTCTCGCTTCCAGTAGTTTGCTACGGCTCTAAGCACCCCTGGCGTTGGAAATCTAAATCCATCACCACATTTTGCTTGTTTGCTAACATTTGCTGATCTGTTTGTGTCAGTCGAAGGTTTAATTTTTTATTAATGTTGTTGTTTATTCATTCAGTTGCTTCCGATGCTTCGTGACCTCATGGACCAGCCCATGCCAGAGCTCCCTGTTGGCCATCACCACCCCCAGCTCCTTCAGAGTCAAGCCAGTCACTTTAAGAATACCATCCATCCATCTTGCCCTTGGTCGGCCCCTCTTCCTTTTTCCTTCCATTTTCCCCAGCATCATTGTCTTCTCTAAGCTTTCCTGTCTTCTCATTATGTGGCAAAGTACTTCATCTTTGCTTCTAATATCCTTCCCTCCAATGAGCAGTCAGGCTTTATTTCCTGACGTATGGACTGGTTGGATCTTCTCACAGTCCAAGGCACTCTCAGAATTTTCCTCCAACACCACAGTCCAAAAGCATCTATCTTCCTTCGCTCAGCCTTCCTTATGGTCCAGCTCTCACATCCATAGGTTACTACGGGGAATACCATTGCTTTGACTATGTGGATCTTCATTGCCTGTGTGATATTGCTACTCTTCACTATTTTATCAAGATTGGTCATTGCTCTCTTCCCAAGAAGTAAAAGTCTTCTGATTTCCTGGCTGCAGTCTGCGTCTGCAGTAAACTTTGCACCTAGAAGTTGTCACTGCCTCCACATCTTCTCCCTCTATTTGCCAGTTATCAATCAGTCCTGTTTAACTGCATCCCAGCTTTTGCACTTTCTTCTTTCACCATGCATCTTATTGGCAAAACACATAGTAACTCAGCATATCATCATACCCAATCCCTCATGGCCGAGTATGATTGTCTTCCAGAAGCAGAGCCTTGAAAATGGATCCATAAGTAGCTGTGGAAACCTATTCTGGATCCACATAGCCTTTCACAATGAGGACATAAATTTTCAAATGGAAAGTCTCGACAAGGGTTGGCTTAACACACCTTCCTCTTGACACGTTTCTCCCTCTCATCCTCCATTTGTGCCTCTTCGAATTCCACAGCACTGCTGGTCACAGCTGACCTCCAGCTGGAGCGCTCAAGGGCCAGGGCTTCCCAGTTCTCAGTGTCTATGCCACAGTTTTCACTCTTCAGTTGAGAGTATAGTAACAGCTTTGGGACATGGTGATCAGGCATTTGGACAATGTGGCCATTCCAGCAGTGTTGATGGCGGAGGATTATTGCTTCAGTGTTGGTGGTCTTTGCTTCTTCCAGAACACTGACATTTGTCCACCTGTCTTCCGAAGAGATTTACAGGATTTTTCAGAGGCAACGCTGATGGAATCATTCCAGAAGTTGAGTGTGACGTCTGTAGATGGTTCACATTTCACAGGCATATACCAGGGTTGGGAGGACAATAGATTTATAAACAAGCTTCTTGGTATTCCTACAAATGTCCCGATCCTCAAACACTTCCTGCTTCATTCAGAAAAATGTTGTACTCTCAGAGCTCAGATGGTGTTATATTTTGGTGTTGATGTTGACTTTTGTGGAGAGGTGGCTGCCAAAGTAGCGGAGATGGTAAACATTTTCTAATTATACACCATTAAGCTGTATTTCTGGCATTGCAGAAAGATTGGTTGATGCTTCTGATAGAGCACTTTGGTTTTCTCGGTGTTCAGTAAGAGGCCAAGCTTCTCCTATGCTTCTGCCAAGGTCTTTAGAGTGGCTTATAGGTTACAAGAGAGCAATAGCTTTATAAACAAGTATCTTGTAATATCCACAACTGTCCTGATCCTTGAACACTCGCGTCTCCACTTGAGAAAATGCTGCACTTGCAGAACTCAAACAGTGTTGTATTTCAGAATTGATGTCAGCTTTTGTATAAAATATACTAATATTAAACATTTTAACATTGGGTGCATGTTAGAATTAATGCAATTTGACATTACTTCAAGTACCATGGTATGGATTTGTTTTTAATAACTTAATTAGTAGTTACAAATCTTGGGGCTGTTCTGTTTATTCTCACAAGACTTTTCCAGTTGTCAGGAAACCCTTTTATTCCCTCCAGGACTTGAAAAATAATCAATATTAATTCCATCCCTACCATATGCTGTAGTCAGCTGTTTTGTCAGCTGCTTTGTTACCGTCTGGGCTATGTGAGAAAAGGACTAATTAACCAGCAGTTTGAAAACATGAGACTGAGGATGTGTGTATCACTAAGAATCCTTAGTAAACAATATCTTCTGTTTTGTTTCCCAGTGAATTTTCATTCCTTCCTGGAAGAGGAGGAGGAGAAGGAAGAGAAAGGGAAGGCCACCATGAGAATTCATACTTCATCTTCAAAGACACTTACCGTGCTTCTTTCTTTGAGCATGTGGCTTGTGGATGGTAAGTACTCAATTTTTGGGGGAAATTTAAATTCTGAAATATATATATTATTAGCTTCACTAGCTCATCCTGCACATATAACTGAAACAAATCCATTTAATAAATGTTCCACTGTAATTTGTTCTCTTGCCTGCTTGATTTGAGTTTTACATACTGATTTTGTCCCATTGTTTACTGATTTAAAACTTGTGATTTGGGAATTAATTTTTCTTATTGAAATATTTTATTATGTTTTCATGTTTCCTGGATGTATTTTGAAATTATTCTATTCATTTTTGTACAATGTTGCCCACTTTGGCATACAAAGTGGCATACAAATCAAGCATTTTGATGCCCATAATTGCCATTAAAGTGAGTTCAAAGATGCAATCCTGCTCTACTAAAGCCTCATTATGGCATTTGCATTTGTCATTGCGATTCTTCAGGTCAATCGCCTCCTGGAAAGCCTACAATAATAGGTTGCCAATTATCAGGAAATGAATCATTTACCTGCCGATGGGAATCAGATTCAAGCGGAGGACTTCCTAAAAATTACTCTCTACTGTATATCACAGAAAGGTAAGAAACCGGAAACATGAGAAGAAAGATCTGTGCTTGCTTTTCTTCTGGAGCGGAAATTGTATGTAAACAGTTCTTCCAAAAAAAATTTTGATTGAAACTCCAGAATTTCCCTGTTTCCCGAAAGCCACCAATAAACCTTGTGTTCAGCTTGAATTGTTTTGTTTCCTAATTACTTTCAGCAGAAGACCTGTATATTTTTGACCTTGGCTGTATTGCACATTGTGTAGAGGTGAGGTGTAATTGTCACCTCTACACAATGCGCAGGAACTTAAGATCATCTGGGGAGGCCCTGCTCTCGATCCCGCCTTCTTCACAGGCGCATTTAGTGGGGATGAGAGACAGGACCTTCTCAGTGGTGGCCCCTCGGCTGTGGAACTCCCTTCCTAGGGATATTAGATTGGCCTCTTCCCTCCTGACCTTCTGGGGAAAAAGTAAAGACCTGGCTATTCAAACAAGTTTTTGGCAATGTAGTGTAATAGATAAGTATGATGCTTATGGAAACTGAGTTTAACTGGAAGACATTGGTGATTATATGCTTTTAATGGTTTTTATATGGATTTTTATTACATCATGTTAAATGTTTTAATGGTATTTATTTATGACTGTTGTGGCATCTAATTTCTGCCAAATTGTAAGCCGCCTTGAGTTGCCTTTGGGCTGAGAAAGGCGGGATAGAAATACCATAAATAAATAAATGTTCCTTCAATCTCTAAATTTTAGTCGAACATTGGAAATACCATTTAGAGGCATTCAAAGAAAGAGAGCAGGCAAAGTTAGGAAGGAAATGAAAGCAACGGATATGTAATGCTTTTAGGTGTGAACATTTTTCAGTGTCTCCCTTTCTGAAGTGCTAGAAGTTTGAAAACTGGAGGAAAATGGTACTAATGTTGGAGAGTGGTCCCTGGTCATAGTGGCCCTTGGTCAAAGTGGTCCTTGGTCAAAAAAAGGTTGGGAACCACTTCTTCAAAACTATCATTTTCCCAAGCTGACCATTCATATTAAGGTTCATCTGTTGGAAATTATATTAATCATAACAGGTGGACAGAGATACAATGTTCTGCGGCAGCATTTCATATACAAAACTTTTTATCTCTAGGGATCCCAAAATGATGCCATTAAGCATGAGCTGTTGGGCTTTAAGAGCTGGAAAACTTAACTGCCTTTGTGCTGTATCTGAGGGCTTTCTAGTAGCATCTGGTTGTCTCCTGTCAAATGGGTTTCATCTGAGCCAACGTCTTCAAAATAAAAATTTGATTATCTGGATTAAGGCTTTCAGTGCTTTTATAGAAAGAAGCCCCACTGATTTCTGGAGGACTTATGTCTATGTCCTGCTGTTGTAATAGCCGCGCCTTTAAGTCTAAGATGGCCTGTTTTCCGGTAGGTTCAGTCCAATTTTTGTTTAAGACTTGCATTATGCTCTTTTATTTCAGAGAAGAACAGCCCCACGAATGTCCAGACTACGTATCAGCAGGTCCCAATTCCTGTTATTTTCATAAAAGGCACACCAGGCTTTGGACCACATACAATATCACAGTAAAAGCTACCAATGATTTGGGGAGTAATTTCTCTGATCCTTACTCTGTGGACATGCGAACTCTAGGTAAGAGCAGAACATCCGGATATTGTTGTATTCCTCCATTCTTCACTCTTCCTTTGCTGGCTATTGTTGAGGAGCTCTTTGTGCCAATCTCTTTTATATTGATTCAGTTCTAGTCACGTACATGAAAACATAAAAACTGGATTCCTTGACAATAAAGGACTATGTTCTGAACTTTCTTTTGTATAGGTAAGCCAGAGCCTCCCTTGGATCTCTCTCTGGAGCTCAGACAATTGAACGAGACAATGTATTTGTGGGCAAAATGGTCACCACCACCTTCAATAACTGATGGTGCAGCAAGCTGGGAAACCTGCAATTATGAATTGCAAACAAACATTGATGGAGGAGCAGAATGGGAGGCAAGTATATTGGCATGCTTTAGCAAAATTGGGATTTTAAAAAAAGGAGCTTTAAAAATATGGGATATAATAGTCAGAGCTGCAACTATTCCCATTACTCAAAAGAAATACTACCAAAACAAGGCTTTAAAACTGACGAATTGTAGATAGCAGAGTGGTTTAAATAGAAGTAATGAATGTGTCCTGTAATCAACTCCACTGGACCGGCCATGTTGCCCGAATGCCCGACCACCGTCTCCCAAAGCAGTTGCTCTACTCCAAACTCAAGAACGGAAAACGGAATGTTGGAGGACAGAAAAAGAGATTTAAAGATGGGTTCAAAGCCAACCTTAAAAACTATGGCATAGTCACCGAGAACTGGGAAGCCGTGGTCTTTGAGCGCTCCAACTGGAGGTCAGCTGTGACCAGCAGTGCTGTAGAATTTGAAGAGGCATGAATGGAGAGTAAAAGAGAGAAACATGCCAAGAGGAAGACGTGGATACTATTTTTGCGGGGATGGCATCAAATTATAACTGCCTGACTACTTTGATATATTCATCCTGTATTCCATCCTAGTAAAATAAATTTTAAAAATACATATTAAATATTTTGTCTGCTTTTCAAGACAGATGCAAAAATATGTATGTTAGTGGAAGATGGTCCCGACTGGGACCGCCTTCCACCTGGAAACCGATACCCTCACTGCGGGATAACATGCAGGTCAATAATAGGGCTCCACAGTCACCTACATACCCACCGCCATTACACCGATCTTGGAAGACAATCCTATTCGGACAACGAGGGATCGCTGAAGAAGAAGAAGAATCCTGTAATGCACATGCTTGTCCAAATTTCATCTCATTATTCCTACCATTATTGCCTTGTATAGTCTTATTCTTAGATATTTTATATGTTTGTTGGTTTGTTTATAGATTTTCATACCTTGCTTCTCAGTCTGAAAAGTACTAGGACACTACATAATAACATAGTGCCAAATGCTTCAGTATATTAGTGTAAAAGTATCATTTTGATGACCTTTTATAAATCTGAAGAGAGTCCCCAATCCTCACAATTCTTTGTTTTCAACTCCTTTCCTAGATGTATGATGTCAGAAAGCAAACACAATATCCAATATCTCAGTTGCATCCAGACGTGAAGTACACTGCTCAAGTTCGCTGTGTAAGAGATAGCGGGGAGACCAGTGAATGGAGTCCAGAAAGCTACTTCAAACTCCACAGTGGTAAGTTAATGACTAATTGTTTTTCTAGCTTGAAAAGTTAAATGGGGCCAGTGTTTTGGAAAGGTGTATAGCGGAGTGACTGTAAACCTGATTTGCTAGAGCCAAATTGTACATCACACAGATTAGTCTAATCAAACCCTGGCAGGTGTTTCTTTTAGATTAGACAAAACAGCTTTGGGAGCGTGGTTGCCAGAGAAGAAAAATTGCCCACCAATTTTCTGATTTAACTACATCCCTCTCCCTTTAGCAGGAGTTCCAAAATAGAGTAAGCAAATCTAGCTCTTATTTTGGCTTCTCTTGTCCTGCTGTTATGCCCATTCTGTTCTCTATTTATTCTGGTTTGAATACAAATTTAGTTTATTATACTTTTTTTTGTGCAGAATTGGCCTAAGATACACATTTTTGCAAGCTACCTTTCCTAATTTTTTTGTTTATCATTTTTCCTGTGACATCATCTTTTGAATGCACTATTCCCTTGTTTAGGTTTTTTTGTATTTCTTGAGTGAGACTGTTGAAACTGCTTCAGTTTATTAGCTGATTCGGGAAAGGCAAATTAGACTGGTTCCCGTTGACAAGGCATCAAAATAATTTCTTCTCCATCCATAGTTCCAGATTTATAATCACCTTGTTTAAAGCCAGTTGGAAATCAATTTTGGGGAACAGAGACAGGTGGCTTCCAAATTGGTGCATGGCTCAATCAAGACCTAGCAGGAGTTCGAACTCCAGACTTTCTGCTCCTAATTTAACAAGTTTGGCCTTTTCACACAGCACTGACATAATTGACTCGTTGGGTTTTCTTCTTTTCAGGCCAACCCCCAGGGAAACCGGAGTTAATAAGATGCCGCTCTCCCGAAAAAGAGACCTTTACTTGCTGGTGGAAACCTGGTTCTGACGGAGGTCTCCCTAATAACTACATTTTCTTCTATAACAAGGAAGGGTAAGCAGAAACTCATTAAGCTAGCACTTGGCTCTTGTATCATCCTGCATCTCTGTCAGGGGTTTGTTTTTTAGATTTTTCCACATGAGAACATCCTCAATTCAAAGGTCCCTTTCACAAGTCAAACATACAGCACTTTGATTCCATTGTAACTGCTATGACAACACCAGGTGGAACATTAGGTTTGCAGCTTGGGGAGGAGACTAGGACGTGGAACAATGGCTTCAAATGACAAGAAAGGAGATTCGACTTGAACATTTGGAAGAACTTCCTGACTGTGAGAGCTGTTCAGCAGTGGAACTCTCTACCCCAGAGTGTGGTGGAGGCTCCTTCTTTGGAGGCTTTTAAACAGAGGCTGGATGGCCATTTGTCAGGGGTGCTTTGAATGCAATTTCCTGCTTCTTGGCAGAATGGGGTTGGACTGGATGGCCCAGAAGGTCTCTTCCAACTCAAGGATTCTATGATTCTATAGTCAGCTCTCCATATTTGCTGGGGTTAGAGGCACAGGACCCCTGCAGAAGAGGAAAAGTTGCAAATAAACAAGTATTACTATATTTATTTGATTCTAAAATGCCATCAATTGTAAGATGCACCCTAATTTCAGTAACAGGTTTTTTTCTGTCGGTGGTACTGAAATTACAATTGATGGCATCTAAGAATTGAATAAATACAGTAGTATTTATTTCTTTGTGACTTTTCCAAATACACCTATGATTCTAGGATCACCTATGATTCGTACCTATGATTCTAAGATCATTGATTCTCAACCTGTGGTCCCCAGGTGTTTTGGTCTACAACTCCCAGAAATCTCAGCCAGTTTTCCAGCTGTTAGAATTTCTGAGAGTTGAAGGCCAAAACATCTTATTTATTATTTATTTATTTAAAACATTTCTACCCTCCACTGGCTGCCGATTTGCTACCGGGCTCAATTCAAGGTGCTGGCGTTGGCCTATAAAGCCCTAAACGGTTCTGGCCCAAGATACCTATCTGACCGCATCTCGGCCTATGAGCCCACGAGGACTTTGAGATCGGCCGGGGAGGCCCTGCTCTCGATCCCGCCTGCCTCACAGGCACGCCTGGCGGGGACGAGAGACAGGGCCTTCTCGGTGGTGGCGCCTCGGCTGTGGAACACCCTCCCCGTAGACATCAGACTGGGGCCCTCCCTTATGACATTCCGCAAGAAACTAAAGACATGGCTGTTCGAGAAGACGTTCGAACAAGAAGTGCAGTAATTGGCAATGACGATAGGAACGGAACAATGGAAAACGATATTGGATTGTGGCTTACGATGAGACGACGCGAATGACTTTTTTGTATTTGTATTATTGATATTGTGATTGTTGACGTTGTTGATGATGATGTTTTGATGTTGCTAGTTGTTGTTAGATTATGTCTTGTAATTGCACTTTATTCTCTATATGTTGTACACCGCTGTGAGTCGCCCCTGGGCTGAGAACAGCAGTCTATAAGCACAGTAAATAAATAAATAAATAAATACCCCGTCCTTCTCAACCTCCGAAGTGGGACTCAGGATGGTTTCCAACAGGCAATCATTCAGTGCCGATACACTATACATCTGGGCACCCACAGGTTGAAAACCACTGTTCTAAGATGCATCCCATTATTAGAGATGTTTATATGTCAAAATGCTGTGTCTTAGAATTGAAGGAATCCAGTGGGTTTTTTTTTAATCTGAGAGAACCTCGATCTAGTAATCTCTTGGCCCTCCAGTGCAATTCTATAGTCAACTCCAACCAGAAGTTGTGCTGAGTTTCCTAAAAAGATCATATTAACCAACTCCACAAAAGTTAAACCAACAAATGTGGAGGGTTGGCTGTAGTTAGAATTCTCAGCCAGAGGACTCCAGTGCCTTGTCAAACAACAAACATTCATATTTCACAGCTTGTAGCCATGGCAATTAAAGCAGAGTCATGTTATTAGAAATGTGCAAATTGAAATGTCTCCTCTGGGTAACAACACAACAATGGAGAGTCTTGTGGCACTCTGAAGGCTCTCACATGTCATGGCATACTTCCTTCAGGGCTCAAATAAATAGGTTACTAATCAGCAGCAAGTGTTTAAATTCCCAAATCACAGGAGAACCAACCTCATCTGGAAACTAAGTAGGACTAGTTCTGGTAAGAACTTTAATGGGAGGCCACCAAAGAATGGCAGGTGTGTGGGCTAGATTTCAAAGGAAGGATCTGGCAAAATCATCTCTTGGCATCGTCCCAGCAACAACAAGGCTATCCCTCTGGGCAGCTAAACCAGGAAATCCCAGCTGGATGGCCCCCCATGAGGGTCTTCCTCCAGAAGCAAACCAAGAATGGGCAACTTGGAAGTCCCTGAATAGATTCAGAAGTGGAGTGGGCAGATCAAAAGACAACCTGGCAAAATGGCACTACCTAAAAGAATCCCACACCTTGTGTGATTGTGGAGCAGAACAGACAACTCCACATCTGTATGCTTGTCCACTGTGCCCTGCCTCATGTACAGAGGAAGAATTGTTGGAGGCTACAGACAATGCCGTTTTTATTGCCTGTTTTTGGTCAAAAGATATTTAGCCACCTGCGCGCCTTCTATTTTTTATCAGTTTTATACTAATTTATGCAATGCTTTTGATATGAAATAAATAAATCTCTTGAGTATTCCTTGTCAAGAAAATCCTATGAAATCCATAGGGTCACCATAAGTTGACATGCAACTTGAAGGTACATGCACAGACAAATAATGTATGGTTTCATTGCTTCCATAAATAAAAGAATCAGCATTAAATCCACATTTTTTCCAGAGTAATCCCAATATGTTTGTGAACATCCAGTTATTGTTATTGAGGACAGGATTCTGTAACTTCTTCGCACTTGCCCAAGGTGATGATTCATACACATTGGTCTGATAGTGATGAAAGTCCTCTTCCAAAGGAAGCTTTCCTGCTGTCATCAATTCAGTTTATAATTGCAGCTGTCCAAGTTAATTATCACTATATGTACCTTCTGTGTTTTTTTCTGGGTATAAAATGTGGGCATGACGTGGTTACTGCCCACTTTGAAGCATTCAATGCTAATCATTGATGCACTTCCAACACTCACTGTTTATTTTCCTCTTAGCACCAACCCATAATTTGACAATTGAAGTATCACTCTGTGCATCTGGGACAAAAACCTGGGCTGTGACAAGTGTGACAGCTTTAAAAATATTGTGAGCCTCTATGTTGTTAGATTGTCATAACAGAGAAATGTACCTCTTCCTCTGGAAATAGTGTCTTAGTGATGGCCATGAGAATAGTATGGTTAAGTTTAGTGTATTTATTTTGTTACATTTTATTTTTCAGAGAGGATGAGTTCCACGAATGTCCAGACTACACAACAGCAGGACCCAATTCTTGTTATTTTAATAAAAAGCATACTTCTATTTGGAGGACATACAATTTTACCATAAAGGCTATGAATGAGATGGGAAGCACCTCCTCTGACTCTTATTATGTGGATGTGGCTAACATAGGTATGGATCAATCAAGCTCGTTGGGGCACTCAGGGAATTGCAATCCATAAGAATGACTTCTCAAAACTCTGGACTTGTGTGACATCTCTCATTAGTCCTGCATGATGGCAAGTTGGGGACAGTGTAACTACCGACTTCCATGTCAGTGGAAGCACTGAGTTTTTAGTCTGAACTTTACACGATCCATAATTTTGACACCTTGGAGAATTCTTTTATAGTTCAGGTCACATGTGTCAAACTCAAGGCTTGTGGGCCAAATCTGACCAATTGTGTCATTTTATGAGGCCCTCCAGTTGCTGGACTACAATTCCTATATTCCCCATCATTAGACATCATGACTAGAGCTGATGGGAGTTGTGATACAGTAACATCTGGAAGGCTGCAATTAATTCTACTTAGTAAGGATAATGGGGTTTGAATTCAGACACAAGGCTTGTGGATATGATGTCTGACTTTAAAATGTCTTTAACCTTTCGCCAACCTCAGAGCCACAAGTGGTGTTCGGGTACAACTCCCATTATCCCCAGTCTCCATGGCGGATAATCAAAAGTGACGGGAGTTGTTGTTAAATAACATCTGAGGACCCATATCAAGTACAAACTAAAGATCACTAACCAATATGTAAAAAACAGATAGTTCACCTTTATATCCTATCCATCAATGGATTCAGCAACCATAAGGTAGCACAATGGGTTAAACCCTTGTGCCAACGGAACTGGTTGACCGAAAGGTTGGCAGTTTGAATCCGGGGAGTGAGATAAGCTCCCATCTGTTGAGCTTTAGCTTCTCATGTGGGGGGACAGGAGAGAACCTTCCCACAAGGATGGTAAAACATCAAAAAAAACATCCAGGCACCCCCTGGGCAACGTCCTTGCAGACAGCCAATTCTCTCACACCAGAAGGGACTTGTAGTTTCTCAAGTCGCTTCTGACACACACAAAAAACCATAAGACCTCAATGAAAATGACTTTGACACCCCTAGTTTAGGCTAAATCCACCCCATTGACACGAAGCCACACACTGCCATTGCAGTAAGAGCAGGGCTGAATTGCATATTTTGCCAGGGGAAAAAATATTCTAGTCTTAAATATCCATGTGGTCCAGTTTTCTCTATTTACAGTCTGAGATTTCTGGCACTGTTCCTGCCATACATCAAGGGAACCACTGACCGCATAGGGAAGCTGATGAGGAACACAACATACAAACTGTCTACAGACCCACCAAGAAAATCCAACAAATGCTACACTCAGCAAAGGACAAGAGGGATCCTCTCACCTCTGCAGGAGTCTACCGTGTACCATGCAGCTGTGGACAAGTCTACATAGGGACCACCAAACACAGCATTGCCCAAACATCAAGGAACATGAAAGGCACTGCAGACTACTTCAACCAGAGAAGTCAGCCATAGCAGAGCACCTGATGAACCAGCCTGGACACAGCATATTATTTGAGAACACAGAAATGCTGGACCACACCAACAACCACCATGTCAGACTACACAGAGAAGCCATTGAAATCCACAATCATGTGGACAATTTCAACAGAAAGGAAGAGACCATGAAAATGAACAAAATCTGGCTACCAGTATTAAAAAACTCTAAAATTATAACAGCAAACAACAGAGAGGAAACAACCAGGCACAGATTAACACCTCCCAGCAAGAAATTTTCCCAGGCTCAGGCAGGCCTTCAAATGCTAATGAAGGTGATCAGCTAAACATTCACACCTAACTGCAGCAGGGAAGAGCTCCTTGCCCCACCCCAGCCATTCCACAGATATATAAACCCTTTTTCCTACTTCCAACAGACCTCACTACCTCTGAGGATGCTTGCCATAGATGCAGGCGAAACGTCAGGAGAAATGCCTCTAGAACATGGCTCTATAGCCCGAAAAAACCCACAAGAACCTAGTGATTCCAGCCATGAAAGCCTTCGACAATACATTGCTGGCACTATTTCTGGTAAAATGCCCCACCCTAGTTGTTTTTATGTTCAATTTTAAGGACAAGCCCTTTTGCTGAGTATCATAAAGTTCAGCAAGCATAGTTTGCTCCAGTAATATATCATGGTGGGTGCAGTGGTGAAGAGTTATCATTGACCCTTTGTGTGAAGAGAAAGGTATTTTTTCATGTATGAAATGTTAAAGGTTGTAAATATCTAATCCTTCCTTTTTCAGTTCAGCCAGATCCTCCAGAAAACCTCTCTCTGGAATTTGAGAAAAAAGTGTATGGAGAGTATCTCTTGTTGAAATGGTCACCACCGTTGCTGGGAGATCTCAGATCCGGCTGGCTCACCCTTGACTACGAGTTGCGCATAAAACCAGAAGAAGGGCAAATGTGGGAGGTGAGAAGAAGCTCTTGGTTGACAAATGTTCTGTGCTTCATTAGAGATTATATCACAAAACACTGTAACAAAGGAACATTGATCAGAAATTGCCCTTTGCTATCCAGGTGGGCAGTGCACCAGCTGTGACTTTCATGCTTATTTTCGTAATCACCATCTCCAAATCTGTATTGCTACAATTTTGTGAGAAACAGCACCACCAAATGTTGGTTCCAAAACCATTTATTTAGTCATTTGTTTTAACTTTCTCTCAGGTTTGGGATGTAAATTCCAGCTTAATTTTAGAGATTCCAATAAAATCACCATGTTGTTGTTGTTGTTCATTCGTTCAGTCGTCTCCGACTCTTCGTGACCTCATGGACCAGCCCACGCCAGAGCTCCCTGTCGGCCGTTACCACCCCCAGCTCCCTCAAGGTCAGTCCATAACTAGTTTAAATGTGAGTTAAAATAACTTAAAAAACACACCACTAATAATACATAAGCAGTAAAAATATTAAAAGTCTGGTGCATCAGTTTTAAAATCTTCTGACCATAACAGACATTCGAAGCAGTTTTTGACAGCAAGTCTGTCTTTACCTGTCAGCAATATGGAGAGGCCTAATGAGACTTCTTTGGAAGTACATTCCATAAGTGTAGGGCAGTCAACAAGAAGGCCTTCTCTCATGTGTGAAGTAGGCTTTCACAGATTTCTGACAAATGTTGGTGATAAATCAAGAAAATCTAAATAAAACAAGTACTTTCTGTCTGTTTTAATAACCTTTAGCCAATCATTGCCAGTATTTGGTGGTATTTGGTTGTTTTTATACTCACATTCAGCCATGGCATCCCATAGAACAGTGTTTCTCAACCTGGAGATCGGGACCTCTGGGGGGGGGGTGCAAAGGGGGTGTCAGAGGGGTTGCCAAAGATGATCAGAAAACACAGTATTTTCTGTTGGTCCTGAGGGTTCTGTGTGGGAATTTTGGCCCAATTCTGTTGGTGGGGTTCAGAATGCTCTTCGATTGTAGGTGAACTAGTAATCCCAGCAACTACAAGTCCCAAATATCAAGGTCTATTTTTCCCAAACTCCATCAGTGTTCACATTTGGGCATATAGAGTTTTCCTACCAAATTTGGTCAAGATTCATCATAGTTTGAATCCACAGTACGCTCTGGATGTAGGTGAGCTACAACTCTAAAACTCACTTGGTCCTTCAGTATGATTCTATGGCCAACCTCCAACAGAAATTGTCCACAACGTTGTCCTGGAAAACCAAGATATTTCTCTAAAGTTAAAAAGTAGTTTGTTTATTTATGTTTTTCCCACTGCTGTAGGTGTCCTGCACTCCTTAATCCCCACCTACTGTACTTCCTTATTGTTTGACTACAACCTGTTGCAAGTTGATTCTATTTATTGATCCCCAAGTTCCATCGTTATGAGAAGAGAAAGAAAAGAAAATTGTCCTTCTGTGATTTGCCTGCATTCCTGAATAATGTTCTGAAACAACGCCGTGCCATCTTTCTCATAATGATCAGAAGGATTATTCATTATTGCTACTGTTATAATGTACTCCCTCCCTTCTTTACATATTTCCAGAAAATATTTGTTGGACATAGAACAACTTACAAGATGTACAGTTTAAATCCAGGGGAAAGATATGTTGCCCAAGTCCGCTGCAGGTCTGACCATGGCTTGTGGAGCGACTGGAGTCCCCAAAGTTATATTAAGCTCCAAAAAGGTGAGAGTGGTACTTGATATGTCTCTCCTAAGTGAGTAATGTCAACCATGCAGCTTAATTTAAAGTTTAGAAAAATGTATCTTAAGAAACATATTCCTTATTATTAACAACAGAGGCATCTATAACCAACCTTATTGGGAAACTGTGTTGTGTTATAATGTGCCTTCACTTTGACTCCATTGTATAAGGACATAGTTTCTTCAGCAATATTTACTCAGAGTGGGTTTGCCATTATCTTCCTCTTCACCCAAAAGAGTGTGACTTGCCCAGGGTCCGTCTGTGAGATTTCTATGGACGAGCAGGGATTTGAACCCTGGGTCTACCAGAGTCATAGCCCAGCACTCAAACCACAACTCCATGTAGGTTTTTATAATTGTAGCATAATAAAAGATATAATGATAACATCTGTATTTCAGTTCATTTTCTAGTTATGAGGTGAAGAAGATTCACTTTGAAGGTGTGTTTTGTGTTACTTCTCAACAAAGAGAAAATAGGTTATTAATTTTAAATTTTCAAACATAATAAGTCAATAATTCTTAAGAGGTTAGAGCTTGGAACTGTCAATGTAACATCCAAGCCCAGATCTGAATCCAAGACCACAAACAAGCTGTGAATCTGAAATCTCAATAGAAGTACAGCTAGCCCCCAAGTTACAATTAAGATAGGTTCTGTAGGTTTGTTCTTAAACTGAATATGTGTAAGTCAGAACAAGTGTATTTTGAAGTGTAACTCCATATGATAGTATAAATCTATGAAAAGAAGTCATAGAGAGGAGGGAGCAAGCTTGTTTTCTGCTGCCCTGGAAACTAGGACGTGGAACAATGGCTTCAAACTACAGGAAAGGAGATTCCACCTGAACATTAGGAAGAACTTCCTGACTGTAAGAGCTGTTCAGCAGTGGAACTCTCTGCCTCAGAGTGTGGTGGAGGCACCTTCTATGGAGGCTTTTAAACAGAAGCTGGATGGCCATCTGTTGGGAGTGTTTTGAATGCAATTTTCCTGCTTCTTGGCAGGGGGTTGGACTGGATGGCCCATGAGATTTCTTCCAACTCTATGATTCTATAATACACACACATACACACACTTTGGATAGCATAGGGAAAGGTTAACACCCCTGTGGTGTTTGTTGTGCTGTCCGTGCCCCTGTTCAGAAAATTTCACTTCACTTTCTGTCCTTGTGATAATTGGATTTTGAAAAAAATGACTTGTTGTAGAAACAAGGATTGGAGATAAAGCTTCAGTTGAGACCCCTTTTCCTCCATGATAATAACTCTTTCAGGAGTGAATTTCCCATCCAAGTGGTTCCCTCATTTCCTGTTGTCTCACCTCCTTTCTTAACTATGAGTCATTTGTAATGTGGATGTTTGTAACTCGGCGATGCCCGTAATTACTTTTAAAGTTCTGGGCTTGTTATTTATGCTCCACTTTCCTAAATTATAACCAAAGCTGTAGAAAGAAGAGCCAGCATAAGATCAGTATAAAACAAAGCAAAAGAGAGCCACAGTAAGACATTAATAGGAAGATATCAGTAGTATGGATGTAAAGAAAATTCACTGCCAATTTAACATGTTTTGTTTTAGGATTAGTCAATAGAAAGTAAAGATGGATTTAAGTTGGAAGCCCTATCTCTGAATCACTTATCCCTGTGAAATTCTTGTTGTGAAAGTGGAAACTTGAAAATTGTTCATATTTTGTAGGGCGATTGTGAGAATGAGAGGAATGGGTTCTGTGAGCTCCTTGGAGGAAAGATGAGATGCAATTTGTAATCAATACCCCGTTTCCCCAAAAATAAAACACCCCCTGAAAATAAGACCTAAAAATAAAACCGCTTTGAGTCCCCCCAGGGGTGAGAAAGGCGGTATATAAATACTGTAAATAAATAATAATAAGTACGACCTAGTAGAGGTTTTGCTGGACTGATAAATATCAGGCTTCCCCTGAAAGTAAGACCTAGCAAAGTTTTTGTTTGGAAGCATGCTCCCCCTGGTGGCTGGCAGCTGCAATACCATCCCTGCTGTACAAGTGGTCCAGGAATTGTTGTAGGAAGGTGACCATGTTTATTTATTTATTTATTTATTTATTATTTAAACTTATATGCCGCCACTCCCCTGGGGCTCGGAGCGGCTTATGTTAGATTCAACATCTCAACAGATAGGCTTGGAGTTTGTTACAGTCTCCAGACAGTGGCCCTGTGTGTGAGGGCCACTATATTTATTATATACTGACAACTACTGTACAGTATATAATAAATGTTTTCCTTTTTTTGTTCAGCAATAAATATGAATTCTTCTTAATGGAAAAACAAGACATCCGCTGAAAATAAGACCTAGCACATCTTTAGGAGCAAAAATTAATATAAGTCACTATCTTATTTTTGGGGAAACGGGGTATATACATTTTGGCAATAACTTGAATTTAACTGTGGAGAAATGAGGTATAACAGGTGTTACACTAGCACTTGGAAAACTTTGCTGAAATCTTATAAATTAGCCTGTTGTAGAAATCTGGGGTGTTCAATGCAACTTAAATTATCCTTGGGTTATTATGGAGCTCAAATGGCAGTAAGATGCTCAATTAAAATGTAGTACACTGAAATGCAATGTTAGATATAAGCTGTTCTTATTTTATTTTATCTTTTCTAGACGTCAGAGTGAAGGATATTCTTGTCTGGATCTTTGTGGCTTGTTTATCATTTGCTGTGTGTTTGATCATGGTCTGCACTCTGGCTCTGAAAAGAACAAAGTAAGTTGCCACTTTTGACCTTGCGAAATGTGTAAAAACAACAGAATTGGTTCAGTTCTTGTGGGTTTTTTCGGGCTATATGGCCATGTTCTAGAGGCATTTCTCCTGACGTTTCGCCTGCATCTATGGCAAGCGTCCTCAGAGGTGAGGATGCTTGCCATAGATGCAGGCGAAACGTCAGGAGAAATGCCTCTAGAACATGGCCATATAGCCCGAAAAAACCCACAAGAACTGAGTGATTCCAGCCATGAAAGCCTTCGACAATAAACAGAATTGGTTCTTGTGTGGATATACAAAACTGTGGCTAATAGTGCAGTTCTACGATATACTTCCAATAAGATTTGTTGAGGGCTTCAAATATGAGTCATATTATACCTGTATGTAATAGCGGTGATTTTTCCTTATATAAATAGCAGCCACAATGAGAGAGAAATCCATCAGAATGACAGCTGCCTTCTAGCAACAAGTAGGCTTCTAATGTATCTTTAGGCAACTGTTTTCAGGTCTGCAGCATAAGCAGTGGATATAAGAAAACCCTCTCCTTGGACACTGTTGTCACAATTCTGATTCACTCATTCTTTCTCTCAATCTTTCTCTGCTTCTCTTTCTCCCACTTCACACATAGTATCAGCTTGCAATTCCCAGTGGCCCTGGCAAATATATGGCGAGGAATGCTAGGGATTGCAGTCTAACAACAACTGGAGGGTCATTGACTTCCCACCCTTGCTTTAAAAGCATACACATATTTAGCTTCCATTGTGTGGCTATATAAAGCAAAGGCAGTTTCTCTGTGTTTTCGTGCACAAACATTAGACTTCAGTGCAGAATTCATCAGTGTCTGCTGCTCGGAAACCTTGAAACTGAAGGTGCCAGAGACTGAACCTGGGGCCGTCCAGGCACAAAACATGCATGCATTGCTTCTCATTCTGAGCTTTGCTCTCCTGCTACTTAGCAACCCAGGATTTTTTTCCTGCTGCTGTGGAAACACAAGAGCAGTTCGGTTCACAAAGAAAATGCATACAAAAGCTCAGGAAGCAGGATAAATTTTCTCTGGCCTAGAGGTTTTTAAAACTCAGAAATGCTGAGCCACCATAAATGGATGAATGTGTAGAAGCTCAGAAATATTGTATTGGAAAAATTAAGGGTAAAGTAAGATTTGCACTTGAGGGGCAAAGTTTTGAATATTGCTATGTGGGTTACAAACAACAGAAGAGCACACCCATATTCTATGAGCTCTTCCTTTTTAGCCTCAAACACTCCAAATGTGTTGGGCCACAAGCCCCATCATCCATAGCCAGTGTCCTAATTTTCCGTGCTACTTGTGGATTTGGGAATTTGTAGTCAAACATATCCAGAAGTACCAGACTGTGGAAGGCTGCTCAAAGGTATTCCAAAATAGTTATTCAAAATTATTAGAAAAGATGACAATTAAATCCTGCTGCAGCAGAGGTCTGTTTCAGCACTACATGCATACAATAATTGGGACAGGGGGGAGGGGGTGCAACTAAGTGTAACCTGAATTCCTTATCATCATATCTTTTTTCTCCTATCTTGTTTTCCCTTTTCAGCATGGTGGCCCGGCTTCTGCCACCTGTTCCACGTCCGAAAATTAAAGGCTTTGATGCTCAGCTATTGGAGGTGAGCCTTTGTGCATTTAGTAAAATCAAAGCATGGATATTATCTCCTTTGCATTTGATGACAAAAACATTGAGAATTCAATGTAGTAAATATTAAACACTCCCAACGTGTGAAAGCTTCTGCTGTGGCCCAATTCCCCATTTTTTTTTCATGTCAGGAGCGACTTGAGAAACTTCAAGTCGCTTCTGGTATGAGAGAATTGGCCATCTGCAAGGACGCTGCCCAGGGGACGCCCAGATGTTTTGATGTTTTATCATCCTGGTGGGAGGCTTCTCTCATGTCCCCACATGGGGAGCTAGAGCTGACAGAAGGAGCTCATCTGCACTCTCCCCAGATTCTAACCTTTGATCTATTGGACTTCAGTCCTGCAGGCACAAGGGTTTAACCCATTGCGCCCCTGGGGGCTTCAATTGCCTGAATTGAAAGCAAAACAAAATCTGATTTTACCCTGAGCTCTAATCTACACAATAATGATACGGTTTGCTCTTGAAGTTAGGAATGATCTTCCCCTAAAAGCTATTCTGGAAAACAATTGTTTTGTGTGGATACACAAAACCCATTCTGGAACAGGACAGCAAATGGAGGCAAGAGGCTTTAGTCCTTTGATCTCTGCTGTCTTCCTCTTCAAGATCACAGACCATGTATAGTCTTTGCTTACAGGAAAAGACTGCTAATGGGAGCTTCTAAAAACCATGCCAATACAATAAAGCTAAGGGGCCTGATATGGCTCAGAAGTGAAACAGTGAGAAGAAACAATTAGAGCACCATTTGTGGCTTTTTGTGAAAGTCTTGTATTCTAGAATGTAATCGGAGTCAGGTATAGTTTGACCCTTAGAAAGACCATTTGTTCTTTTATCACAGTGGTGATGGATTTATAACCTTTCAGATGTCGTAGCAGTTCAGCTTCCACAGCCTTAGTAAGAATGGCCAATGGTTCATTCATGAGGTGATGAGAGTTATAGTAATTTTTAATGTGGATGTTTGTAACTCAGGGACAAAAACTGGCCCCTTTTGATAGAAGCATCAAAAAGTTCAACATGGTTCTACCACTAGTGCTGTGGTTCCCAACCTTTGGCCTTTCAGGTGTTTTGGACTTCAGCTGCTAGAAATCCCAGCCAGTCATGGGAGCTGCAGTCCGAAACACCTGGAGGACTAAAGGTTGGGAATCATTGCTCTAGCGCTTACTTGCCCCATAATGTGTTACTCTTTTGGGTAATCCTGAGCTGTGGTCTATGAAAGTTTATATTGTAAGAAAGTAACACAAAAGTAGTATGTTGCACTACTTGTACCACTGCTGCAGTTCTGAGTGTAATAAAATAGTTTAATTCAAATATTCTAGTCATCCCTCACCATCCTTGTATGTATGTTTTCCTTCAGGCGGGGAAAACTGAAGAATTACTGAGTGCCCTGGATTGCCAGGGTTTCCCTCCCACGTCAGATTATGATGACCTGCTGGTGGAATTTTTGGAAGTAGATGACAGCGAAGACCAGCAACTGATGCCAAGTCACGAGAAGAAGTATCCCAATTCCACACACCAGGAAACAGACAGTGATTCAGGGCGAGGAAGTTGTGAGAGCCCTTCTCTATTATCAGAGAAGCGCAAAGATGCCAGAAATCCAGCTGAACTGAAAACACTGGATATCCAGGGTGTGCAAAAGAACGCTGGTATAAAAAGCACACCGGAAACCTCAAATACAGACTGTGAAGGACAGCTCCCCTGGTCCAGTGTTGGTGGACCACGGGCGTCCACATGGCCAGGGCCTCAGCTGCCAAACTGTCAGACTCCTAATTGTTTCAGTAAGGAGATCACAGATGTGTGTAAAATAGCACTCAGTGCCATGAATGGAAACAGGTCGCCTATTTTGATGAGGAGTGAAAATACGCTTCATCATTCCCAACAACCGAGAACCACTGAAACAATTAGCAATGGAGCACCAACCAGGTTGGAGGATGGGACAAACTTGCCCTTAAATGTTCATGGTGACCAAAGGGCCTTGTGGTTATTCCCTCCTGTGAGGTTGCCTTCTTCATCTATAAAGCCAATGGACTATGTAGAAGTCCACAAAGTCAACCACGATGGAGTGCTGGCTGTATTACCAAAGCAGAAGCAGAAAGAAAATGTTCACAAAGCTGAGAAGAGTCCTGTTGCCAGAGATACAAATGAATACACCAAGGTTTCAACAGTTGCAGACAACCATATTTTGGTGTTATTTCCTGATCCAAAAATGGAGGCCTTGCCTTCCTTTCAGGAAATGCCAAAGGAATCCAGCCAGATATATTCACAGAGCCAAGCAGAGAAAAGTATGGGCTATTGTCTCTCAGCTCCAAATGCATTCAAAATGCAGAGTGGTGGATTGGACTACATGGATCCAAATAATTTTATGCCCACTTTTAATTAATTGTAAACTTGACAGTCCTCTTCAGGTAACACTACAAGTAAAGTAGATGGAACAAAATTGGTCAAATATCTGATTAAGCTCAGTTGTTGTAGCGCATACCTTTTTATGCTTTATGCTCAATCATGTAAGAATATGCTGATAGCTTACAGATCTATTTTTTCTATCTCTGGTTTTTCAGAGCTAAATTTCTGAAGAGTAACTTGCAGGAATTTAAAAGTACATGATGTAGACACATGCAACTGATACTAGCTTGTGATATGTTTTTGCAGAGCTGACACAGTGTGTGACAAAAACAACTTCAGATCTTTCTCAAATGTTAGTTGAGAGATTCAGGCTGTCTTTCATTTTTTTTAAAAAAATGAAAAACTATACGACAGATTCTTTAACTACACCAATAGTATCTAAGATATTTCTCACCTGTGTGCTACAAGTATTGTAAATTGTAAACTTTACAATACAAACATGGTAAAGTGTGCCACTTCAGTGCATCACTTGTGAACGTGATTTTTTGAACCAGTATTCCCAAAATCCCCAGTGGTCATGCTGGCCAGGGGATTCTGGGAGTTGTACAAAATGTTTCTTTCCCACATTACACACTGCTCCAGTAGAAAGGATATATGTATTGCGTGCAACTAATCATGGTTTTGGGTGGGGAGACATTTTCTTCATGTGAACTGAGCCATAGTAATGTGGAACATAAGCAGGAGTTTGTGTCTACTCCATGCTGCCTCTGGTCTTCAAGAACATTCCTGTCCAAAGTGCCACAAATCTACTTCATTCACGCCAGTTGTGCAATTAGTGGCAGGCCTGGCTGCTGATATGAGGGGACCTTCAGCATGGAGCTGGATGCTAGCTTCTGTATACTGGTGTGATCCATTCCAGTGTTAGCAAACAGGTGGCTGATCTGCTCTTTCACCTCTTTATTCCTACTTACATGGAGAGTGGACAAGACCTGCCAAAGAAGAGGAATGAGGGCAGCTCTCCCTTACCAAGCACCAGGAAGACACCATAGTAATGACACACACAACACCCCACCAAAGTCTGGTGGGGTGGACGTCTATGGAAATAATGGGTACAGCTCTTGGCATAACGTTATTCTGGGATATTGTGAGGGATTCCAGTGGCAGCCACATTCCCTGGTTCTCACTGGTGTACTGGAAATGGGGGCTCATGATAGTGTAGTGGAATTTGACGGAGTTGTGTTGGAGGACCTAGGCATTCCTAGTTGTTGACCATTGATTTGTACTGAATGACTTAGGTCTTCCAACACAACTCCATGGTCAATTCCCTTGAGGTTTGTCCTCTTACCCGAAGTTGACCATGGAATCTCCAGGTCCTCCAGCCACAACTCCATGGTCAGGTTACTAAACAGGTGCATTCTTAGCAGAAGTTGACTATAGCTCTGTATTGGAGGACCTAGAGATTCCTGGAGGGATGTTCTCCCTCCCCCATTTGTTGACCATCAAGTGGTACTGGACAACTTAGGTCCTCCAACACAACTCCATGGTCAACTTTTCAGAGGGCTGCGCTCTAACCAGAACTTGACATGGGAATCTCGAGATCCTTCAGCAGAACTCTAGAGTCAACTTCTGGGGGGGGGGAGGGGCTCTCATCAGAGGTTGACCATGGAGTTGTGCTAGAGAACCTAAAGATTCCTAGAGGAGTGTTTGCTCAAGTATATATAAAGAGAAGGGGGAGGGAGAGAGAGAGAGACCATATTAATCAAATCTGCAAAAATGAAACCTGCAAGTGTAGAGGCACAAGAGACCCACTGTAGCTGATGACGGCTTTCCACTTTGCTGATTGTGGACCTGATCAGTGGCATCGCTTGGCCACCCGTGTTCTGCATACTTAGTTGTAGCTTTACCAAATATTGCATTCAAAAAAAGTTAAATACATGAGAGGGGAAAAATACACACCCTTGCAAGATATTTAGTGGTGGTGTTCATTCAGTTTTTCTGACATGCCTCTAGTGAAATACTAATGTATGTTTTTCTGTTAGATTTTTCATGATCTTTCTATTTGGGGGGACGGGACCTAAATCTGTGGGTGAAAAAAGTATTATACCAAAGCTCTTTTATCAGATCTAATATATTTAAAATATTCCTGAAAGGAGAAGGGGAATCTGCTATACTGGTTTTCCTTCTTTGTTTCTGTATGGTAAACTATTTTGTAGCAGAACCTGAGGCCTTCCACAAGTTAGACTACAACTCCGAGAAGCCTTGGCTAGCAGGGCCAGAGATTAAGAGTGCTGGGAGTTGCGGCCCAGCCTCTGGAGGACCACATGTTGTCCATTAGCCTTTACAGCCAGTGACCAAAAATACCTGTTGGTATTAGTGGATCAACTGATACAGCATTGGGTTGAGGGAATTTTTAATTTTTCTATTACAGTGATCTGAATAACCCCTCAGCAGGATTCAGTTTATACTGCCTTATTGTATATAGTAAAAAGGTGTAATACAAGCCCTGTGTATTTTTGCAAAGTATTTTTCTATTTAAAAAAATAAATATATTTTCTGATTTCCCAGAGGTATGTACTTAACGAAAGGTTTTACTGCCTCACCTCTTGCTGTTCGGTGAACAATGCAGGTGATAAGAGAAGAAGATGCACTTTCTGCCATGAAACTGTGTGTACAGGGGTAATGCTGAATATGTGTCAGGTTGTGTTTCTTAAGGTTTCTTAAGGTCTTCAATTCTTCCTCCAGTATCATAGAATCACAGAATAGGAAGAGACCACAAAGACATCTAGTCCAAGCCCCTGCCATGCAGGAACACACAATCAAAACACTCTCAACAGATGGACATCCATCCTCTGTTAACCTTTGCCCCTGGCTACCCCCAAAGAGAAGGAACCTCAGGCAGCGTTTTTCACTGTCAAGCAGCTCTTACCCTTAGGAGGTTCCTCCCAATGTTTACGTAGAATCTCTTTTCTGGTAGTTTGAATCCATTTCCCCGTGTCCTAATCCCTGGAGTAACATGGGAAAAACCTTGCTCCATGTTCAACACTTCCTTTCATATGTTTAAATATCACTATCTTGTCTCAACTTAACTCTTCTCCAAACTAGACATCCTCCATTAGTAGGGAATGCTTTCCAGACCTTGTACCATTTTGGTCTCCCTCCTCCAGGCATATTCCAGCTTGTCAATTTCCTTCTTAAATGTTGTGCTATTCCAGGCATGGTCTGACCAAACAGAATAGAGTGATATTATTAGTTATCTCCATGTAGACACTATATTCCTATTGATGCAGCCTAGAATCACATTGACCACATCAACCTGGTGATTCATGTTCAGTGTGTGGCCTACTACAATGCCTAGTAAGGCTCATGTTGTAATGTAATGTTGTCAAGCCAAGTGTCACTAGTTCCATTTCTTCTGCCGAAATTCATTTTGTCGGTTTTGATTGAGATCCACAATCTGCTAAAGGTAATTAAAAATTTCTGATCCTGTCCTTTGGCCTCGTTTGGTGCCATCTGTAAATTTGATAACCATGTCTTCTTTCATACAAGTCATTTATAAAAACGTTGAGTAACATTGGACCCAGGAACGAATCTTGTGGCACTCCACCAGTCAATTCTCTCTAGGATGAAGAAGAACCATTGCTGAGCCCTCAGTTGAACCCTCTGGGCTCAACTGAACAATTACAAATACATCTTACAAGCCCATTTTCTAGCTCAATCATTGTCTAGCCCAGGCACTTCAACACCCACAATTCCTAACAGCCTCAGACTCTTTCCCTGAGGCTGTTAGGAATTGTGGGAGTTGAAGTCCAAGACACCTGGAGGGCCAGAGTTTGCCCATGCCTGGGCTAGCCCATATTTGACTACCTTGTTTGCAAGAGGACTTTGTCAGATACCTTACTGCAATCAAGATATACTACATTCACAGCATTCTCTTCATCTTCCAAACCTGTAACTCTATCAAAATCGAGAGAGAGAGAGATAAGATTAGTCTGACATGACTTGCTTTTGATCAACCCACACTGATTTTTAATGACCATGGCATTCCTTTCCAAGTCTGTTTAATTATCTGATCTGGAATCTTTCCTGGAATTGATGTCAGGCTGAATGGATGGTAAATGTTTGGGTCCTCTTTTATTCCTGCCTCTCTTTTGCCCTTTTCCAATCTTCTGGAACTTTTCCTGTTCTCTGGGAATTATCAAAGATGATTGCCAGCAGTTTTGAAATTACTTCTGCCAGTTCTTTTAATACCTTTGGATTTAATTCATCTGGTCCTAGGGAGTTGAATTCGTTTAGAGCAGTGGTTCTCAACCTGTGGCTCCCCAGATGTTTTGGCCTTTCTCCTAGAGATCCTAACAGCTGGTAAACTGGCTGGAATTTCTCTAAGTTGTAGGCCAAAACACCTGGGTACCCACAGATTGAGAACCACTGATTTAGAGTATCCAGGTATTCCAATACTACCTCTTTACCTATTCTGTAGCCCCTGGTGGTGCAGTGGGTTAAACCCCTGTGCCGGCAGGACAGAAGATCGACAGGTCACAGGTTCGAATCCGGGGAGAGTCGGATGAGCTCCCTCTATCAACTCCAGCTCCTCATGCGGGGACATGAGAGAAGCCTCCCACAAGGATGATAAAAACATCAAATCATCCGGCCCTTTGGTGTGCAATTTTAAACATATCTGATTCAGGTAATGAGTCCCATAGAAAACAATGGGATTTACTTGGACTGATAAATGTGAACAAGGATAGTCATTTCCATTACACTTACATTGTATATGAGTGCTGTGTGGGAAAAGAAAAACTAAATTTATATTTGCTGCAAAGCTATAAAGCTGTGCAATAGGACAGCTGGGATGGAACAGGTTTGTTTGTTTTTCATACTACCTCACATTTATTTTCCCCTTAAAAAACAGAGAGAAAGAGTGTGTGTGATTGAAGAATGGAGATGTCAAAATGCTAATTATTTTGAAAGAAGCAAATTGAACCCTTTACAACTCCTTTGATATGTGACAGAGGGATGTTTAAGGAGATAGACAATCATTTTTGGTAGTGAATTTTACACCCCAGATACCTTGTATTTCTCTATGTCTTTAGCCTTCTTCAGAATTTTTAAATGCATGCTTGTATCAGTAGAAATGTGCACGAGCAGCTTGTCTAAATTTACTGTAAGCCTTTTTGGACACAACAGCATGCAGAGAGAGTACTCTCCATGCAATCAGTGACTTTGCCTTGGCTTATTGCTTTCACTTCAAATTTGGATAGAATGCATTTTTTGTATGTATGTGTGTGTGTGTGTAAATTGTGCGATTGTTCTTTGCTCCTTAATTGCCAGACTGATCTGGAGGCTTTCTAGGTCACATGGAGGGATTAGAGGCTCACAGAGGGCAGAATTATTGCTGCCAAACTGAGCAGCATTGAGGCAGATATGGTGTTCCAGTAAAATAGGAAGGTGTTGCCACTGCCAAGCATTTAGTACTTTTCTGATCAAGTCTGATTGAATCTGATAAAACAGGAAATTTTAAATTCAGTTTGGCTCCCAGCAGAATCTGTTTTATCCTATTAGATCTTGGGAATGTTAGATTTTGGTTTACAGCTTTCAGGACATCATATGACAAGCATGGCTACTGACTGCATATATAGGCTGCAGGTTACTAAAAAAAGTAGTTGGAAAATATTTCCAAAATCTACTCCTATTGATAAGTCTAGCAGAATAGTCTTTGGGCTTTCTCTATAACCCAATAACACTTTTCCAGGACTCCAGCTATTCTAACTTAGTTCATACAACCAATCTTTTAAATCTGAAGTTGGCCAACTTAGTGAAGAGAGTCTGGCAAAAAAACATTGAAATAAAGAATGAAAAGATTCCTCCCATTTTTTTCATTTACACCCCTATAATATGCCCTCTAGAAAAGGAGTTGTTTTCCTTCCTCTGTTCTTAAGGCTGCTAAACCTACTCCTCAAAGCGTACTTTAACATCTTCCCATAATGTGAACTGAATTACCTACATGAATCTAAATCAGATCTACACCACTTTGTGATAACACAGTCTGTTCA